GGGACTATTCAGAGAACAGATTACAGGTTAGGCACCATTGTTTTTGGGGACATTAACTTCTAAGTAAAAGAATGATTTCACTGTCCTTATTTATTTAGGGTACCACTAGCTTCATCCTAGCATTGTGAACCTTTATGAACCAACAGGATATTTTCTCATATAATTTGGTCTGAGAAAAATCATGAGTCATTGGAAGTAAGATTTCTCACAGTGACATAATGTTTGGCAATTGCAAAATGAAATCTAACATTCTAATATATTTTTGTTGTCCAGAGAAATAGTTTGTTAGTGTTGTTTCCAAAGACAAAGTCAGTGCAGACTTAGGGAGACCAGACATTTGTCCTGAAAATATCCCTATGTTTCCATAATAGTGTATTGACAAGGGCATGTGGGAGAACCAATGAGAAACATCCTGTGCTGTTTGTTGAGGGACTGCAGTACCTAGATGGCCCTGGTTATCCAGCATAAGTAGAAATCTCAATATCCTTGAGGGCTAGTTTGGGGAAATAAGAAACAGTTTGCTGTAAGGTAAATTGATTGTCTTTCTAATCCATTTTAACTTCACCAGCAAACTAGTTTCTTCCTGTAGACTGTCAATTTTCATGTAGAGTCCTCTAAAGAGTTCTGTAAAATCAATTTTCATTGATCTCATTAGGAAAATGAGCAAACATTTTAATCTACTTCCTTGGGGAGAAAAAGGGGACCTTGTAGCTTCCTTTTTCCTTCTTGTGAATATTGGTGTACAGATAGTCCTCGCTTAACAATGGTAATTGGGACCAGAATTTCCATCACTAAGCAATGTGGTCATAAAGTGTGATGTCAAGTGACTGCATTGCTTAGTGACAGCAGTCCTGGCAGTCCCTGTTGCTGTCGTTAAGCAAGGATCATGTGTTGTTAAGTGAGGACCTCCTTGCGACTTCCTGCCGGCTTCCAATAAGCAAAGTCAATAGGGAAGCCAGCAGGAAGTCACAAGTCCTGGGTGACTGGCAAGCAGGTCGGCAGGCAGGTAAGTGACTGCTGCAGCACAAGTGCGGCCTGTCGGGGGCTGACTGATGTGGAGTGTGGGAGGGTGCACAGGTAGCTGCTGCAGCCTGGCGTGAGCATGGCTGGATGTGGGGTGGGTGCTCCAGAGGGTAGGAGGGCATGCGGGAAAGTAGTGAGAGCAGGAACAACTTACAGGAGCAACTTGCAACTTTCCCTGCCAGCCTCCCCATTGACTTTACTTGTGGAAAGCTGGCAGGGAAGGTCATAAATTATAATCACGTGACTGCAGGACACTGCAACTGTCATAAGTGCAAGCCGGTTGCCAAGCACCTGGATCGCAATCATGACTGCAGGGGTGCTGGGATGGCCAGAACTTCAAGGACCAGTCATAAGTACCACTTGTTCAGCACTGTCATAACTTCAAACGGTCAGTGAACAAGAGGTCATTAACCAAGGACTATCCATATGTTAAGTTTGTTGGTGGAGGATGGGGAAGGTAGGGGAGAATGAGTGTTCAAGTGGATGTGAATAAGAAAATAATTTGTATTGGGCCAGAAGGGGAATTTGGGTATCCATATGGCCATATGGCTAAGTATGGATAAAGGTGGGAATTCTCTTTATGTATGTCCACACAGGGAAGATTTGAGTGAAAAGATTGTATGTCGAAAACATATTTGTGCTGATGAGTATGCACTCAAAGGGCCCAACATTTCTTTGTATCCTATTTTACCATTTACAACCTGGTACAAATATAAACCATCCAGTGGGCCTTATGCTTTTTTGCATTTATTGGGTACCTCTGTTCTGTACCTCTGTAATATTTTACATTGAATTTTGTTTCTTTTTTGTACTTTATCTTCAGTATAGCCAAGAAGTAGCCTCAATCATGCTGATAATAATCCAGATAAAGTAATACTTCTAGTAAGTTCAGTGCTCTCCTTTCAAACTTGCTGAGTATTTCTACATAACCACTACAAGGGAGATATTTTAATACTGCCTTTCAAATGTTTTCCTATCTGTCTTATAAAAGGAAAAATAATTCTGTATGATAAAACGTCAAAAGCCTTTATTATGAATCTTTTGTGCAGATCCTTTGTTTAGTGAAACTTTTGATGGCTGCTTTGAGCAAATCACTTTCAGTGTACCTTCTTTGGTAAGTCTTTCAGTTCTGGAATTCCAAAAATGCAGATTACAGTTTCTTAGTATGATAAAACTGTATCAGGCTAGAACTGTAATTACAATTTAATTTAACTGTTTAGAGAATACTATCATGCACCAAAAGGACTTTATTTCATTAATGCACAGAAAGCCATTATAGACTGTTCTTATTTGAGTCTGTGCCTGTATTATTAAGGCATACCCCTCCCTAGAAATATAATATCCCCATAGTAGAGTATAATTGCTTTAAAACAGGAAAGGAAAAAGTACAGTTGCCAGAGCTCCTGTCCTCTCCTATGCCACACTCCTCCCATCCCTATATGGTTCTTGGCAATTATATCTTCCCCGCTAGGTCTCTCTCATTTTCTCTCTTTACCCTGCCCTGGCTTCCCCAACCCCACATCATATCCTTTTATCTTCCCTGCTGTGTTTTCCTGTTGCTTCTCCATCCTGGCATCCATCTTTGGGTCACAGTGCTCTGTCTTCCAGCTTTCCACACTGGCAAGTTGTTTTTTTTTTAATGTTGGTAGTACAGACTTGCATAATAATCTAATGCAATAGATTTAAAATAAAGATAGGCATTACAGAGCACATTTACAGGCAGCCCTCAACTTTCTACTCAGAGCCCAGTGTGGCCCTCAAGCCAAACAAAAATAATACACACCTGCTTTAAAAGTCTTTTCAGGTTGGTTCTCCATTTTAAAAACCAGATTTTCTGCTGTGGAACTAACTTTTCTGTATTTACATGGTAATGTTCAGCATTCTACATATCATAAAATACATTTTAATTCTTAGTTATAATGCACAGTGTATGCTATCTGTTGCACAATAACTGTACAAGGCTTTAAAAACAATGCATCACATAATAGAATTGTTCATTATTGAAACATGTTCTGGAAATGAACATCTTACATCACACTTTCTAAATTGGCTAATTACCTACTTTTGACAGCACTAGCAAATAAATACAGTTTTTAGTCTTGCAGTAGAGCATGCTTTGATATGTTTACTAAAGGTAAGTATTGTTAATTTTTTAAATCTGTTTATATTTAGATAAACGTGGCTAGCTATCTCCAAGTTCTGTGTTTGGCCGAGAACTTAAGAACTGATATCAGAGACTTTGCTGCCTTGTTAACTGTGAATAACTGTGACATCAGGCAGAGTATTCTACACTTACAGTTCTGGGTTCAGAGTGGTGGTGGTTACTTGAAAGAAAAAGGTATGGTAGTCTATCATAACTACAACCCACTTAAAACAGTGAATGAAACATATAGAAAAATTTCCCAGTTATTCCTTTGAAGACAATATTTAGGCTTTTATGTTTAAACATGTTTATAGTATCAAATTGCAGTGCAGAGTGGATATATAAGACATGAGTTACTGTGTTGGCCTCTGAATAGATTATGAGAAGAGAAGAAACAGAGATCAGGGAATAGAATGAAGCTTGCAGAAATGTGGAATGTGAATATGGGATTGAATTACATATATGACCAAACTGGAGGACCAAAATCCTAGTATGTAATAATGGGATCTATACCACCCTGTTGACAGGGGTGAATCTGAGGGCCAGATTCTTCTTTGTGTGGGCTGGATGAATGTACCCTATGTGATTACAGATCTAGTAGTAATTTGGTAGCAGAGAGAGAACTTTATTAGTAGGCATCTCATAATGCCTGCAAACCATCCAGCCCCCTCAGTTGCTTTGCAATGGCTCCTCCTGGAACTGTCCCCAGATAGTTTTCTGAAAGCAGGAGGTCAAAACTGGGAGGAGATGCATTTCCTGACTAGAGAATGGCACATCTTCTGTTTAGCTCTGAAATACTCATATTTCAATCTGATCTATATCAGTCTATCTGGGGATTAAGTAAATTGGTGGATTTCTATTATCCTCAATATTGAGCAGTAGGAATGTTTGCAGGTTACAGTCGTTGTCTTAACCTATTGTCAGGAGCAAACTTGATTCTAAATTTTATACAGTATATCCTGACTTCTTTTTGCATCTTTGGTGCTACCCGTTTTTTCAGGGCTTCTCATCCACCTGCTATATGTCAGTGTTCAGATCACTAGTCCCTTTATCTTTGAAACTAGAGGTACATACAAGATGGAAAAATTGTTTGGCTTTAAACCCAGAACAAACCACCGTGTTTCAGAAATTCTGAACTGTTCTGGACTAGCCAAGGTTCAGCAGAAACAAAGTCTAGAACACTGAATTGCTCCACATTTGAGACCAAACAAAATCAGGATGGGGCGAGTAGGGCAAGACTGCCGCCAGTTACCCCCTCTCCCTTCACAGCTGCCAGTACAGCATATCTTATCATTCTGCTGCCCCCAGTCATCACAGTGCCTTTATTGCCCTCCCGCCCCTCCAGTCACCATTGTCCCGGTGTGGCATATCCAACCATCCTCCCCTACAATCTTCCCAGTGCCTTCCCTTTCTTCCCATCTGCACAAGTGCAGGAGAAGGTTGGCCATGTTGCAGAATATGCTGTCTATTCAGGCAGTAAGAAAACCCATCCCATAGAAGCTGAAAGGATATTCTAGAAAAACACCTTTCGTTGGATGGAAGAAGATGAATGGAAGAGCACATGGGCAAATAGAATGAAGCTGCTATCTAAGAAACCTTAGATAGTTACAACATTTTTAAAAGAATAATATTACTATGCTGCAGTGGAATTTTTAAACTAATTAGCATCTACTTTTACAATTTATATACTATTTTCATTACATTAATTAATTAAACATTTTAAAGTGTGATTGTAAAGCTGACTTGGAAAAACGTGCTATGTTAATGTGGAAAATAGTCAAATAAGAATTAACGTCAATGTTAAAAAGCTTTAATACTGATAATATCCGTATTAAAAAGAATATCAGTATTATTTGAAAAGTCTCTGCTAAAAAACTTACTTCACGTTATCTGTCTAGATACAGATAGTCCTTGGCTTATCACAGCAATTGGGACTGGAATTGCCATTGCTATGGGATGCAGTCATAAAGCGTGATGTCACATGGCCACACCCCTTAGTGACAGCAATTCTGGCAGTCCTAGTTGCTGTCATTAAGCAAGGACCTCACGTGACTGTGGCTTCTGACTTCCCGCCAGCTTCCCCGTTGACTTTGCTTGTGGGAAGCTGGCAAGGAACATTGGAAATCGCAATCATGGAACCACAGGGGCGCTGTGACAGCCAAAACTCTGAGGACCAGTTGTAAGTACCACTCATTCAGCACTGTCGTAACTTTGAACAGTCGCTGGTCTTAACCTGAGGAGTACCTGTAGTTACATATATTCATGTATATCCAGATTCCATGGCTTAATACTCTTAAACTTTTAAAACTCTTTTGTGTAGGCAAAAGGACAGAGATAAATGGCATAGAACAGAATGCTTTCATCAAAGAATCAACTAGTTCGAAGTCAAGGAAACCTGTTCTTGAGAATATTCCAAAATGTAGTACTGGCTGCATTGAGAATCTGCTTGGACTTAAGAACATATTTTTCCCTTCAGAAGATTTGTTCTCATTCCTTAAGGTATATTTACTAAAGTGTTTAAGAAGAAATGAACCTTCAACCAAATGTTGCAGCATAAAATGCTGCTGTCCAGTAACCTTGCCAGTCCAATCCCTTTTCCTCTCCCTTGTCCTTGGCTCTGTTTTCCCTCAGCTGTACTACATGATCAGTGAACAAGGGAGCCTCATTGGACTTTTCCAGGAATTGCAACTCTCCTGGTTTTTTTTTCCTAATGATGTTATATTCCAATTCAAGCTTTAGTACTATTGCTGGACTGCTAATAATCTCCTTGCACTTTAAAGGGGAAAGTGGTTTCAGTCAGAGCTCCAGTCCTAAAAGACAGTTCCCTCTCTGATCCACTGATCTTCTTTCCCCTCACCTCACAAGACTAAATCAGCATTTTTATGCATTTACAGAATTTGATGCAGGATAACATAATTTCTTGGGCAAAAAATACGCAGTTAACAAAAACATTCTTGTAGAAACTTGAAAGTAAAAATATGTGCAATGAGTTTGTACAGACTTAAATCTAGAACAATGTGCCTTTTTCAAACCATTGGACTTTCTGAAATTAGTTCTATCTAAGCAAAGTAGATGAAAAAAGTAACATTAGGACATTTATATGAACAAAAGGGTGATTTAAAAGACAGATATTAGAAGTACCTTAATTCTACAGAATTAAGTATCCACATTTAGAAATTACTTTTTAAAAAACACAAATATCCTTTTCCTATAGATTTCATGTATCTGATTTGGTTAGCTATTTCTTGTCTGGTTAAAGACAGCCATTGGGATCAAGTAGGCTCCAAATCTATTAATGAAAAATAATTATTCATTTATTTCTCTACAGCATGAAATCAGAACAAAAGAAGATTGGAATAAGCTGATACGTCTGCTCACAGAATTCCAGATGAGGAATACAGACTTCATTTATAGCAACCTTGAAATCATGACATCTTTGCCACTTAATGTAATTCCGGAAGCATTTGAAATAGCTAGTCCTGCATGTAGCTTTATTGCAGAAAAGTCTTCAAATAGTATATGCATTGATACTGATTACTTAGAGGAAGCTCCTCCTGTGAAAAAGGCTAAACGATCAAGATGTCAGAAAAAAATTGCTGTATTGGATGATAGTGATTTATTTGAATGTGAATTCAATTACTCTGGGTTTATTACATTGCCTCCTGACACAACCAGTTCATGCTTACAAGAAAAGGGCACAATGGTAATGAAAAATGGAACATCAGCCAAGGCAAAGGGTTCTGTACTTGTATTCCAGTGTTTAAATTCCTTGACTGAATTTCTGGACAATATGTCTTTATTAGACTGTTGTTTCACTGGGCCCACACAGGCATCAAAGCAGTCTGGTAAATATGAAGAATTTATTTGGACTAAGGGGAAAATAAAAAATGGTCTCTCCGATGAATTTAGTATGGAGTACATGGACTGGTGGAGCTCTCAAAGCTCTAGTGAACTAAAAGCAACAATGGAAGCACTAAATTTCAACAAATGCTCTGAGAACATTTCAAAAATCATGGAAAGTTGCTTGAACTGTGGAAAAACTCTTGGGAAGAATGAATTAGAAGAGCTCACTCTCCATGTTTCAAAAGAACGAGCCGATTTATATTTTGGCCAGTCAGCAGCTAATTTCAGGTAAAATCAAAACATTTCTAAGGTATTACAGAATGAAGTGGGAAAAGGATGTCCTTAGTATGTAAAGCAGAAGCTAGAGAGAATAAAGAGTTTTCTCCTATTTTAACATTGCAATTATCAGCTTGCCTCTAGAGTTGGATGTGCAGACTTGTGCAAAATTCCATAAATGCTTCATAATAGCAAATTGTAATATTAAAACCTTATTAATTTGATTAAGGCCTGGATATTAACAATTTCACTTGTTAGGAGAAATTGAGTTTGAAACTGAAGACGCCAAAGGCAGAGACTGTAGCATTGGCACACTAATTTCTGAGGTGGAAAGAGAGCAGTTTTATCAACAAAAGTACTTTACGTGGAGTATTTAATCTCCATGAGAAAAATTTTACACTTGCCCAAGCTGTTCCTCTTTATACGATGTCTCACTTAACTGAGACAGAGACTAAAAGTAGTAAAATGAGAATGGAGGATTTAGCATAATTCATTTGTATGTCTTTTACATTTAATATCCAGTCTTAGTCTCTGCC